ACAGTTAGTTACCTACAAGGGAGCACCCATACGACTGTCAGCTGATTTCTCAACAGAAACTTTGCAGGCCAGAAGGGAATGGCAAGAAATATTCAAACTAGTGAAAAACCTGGAACTACAACCAAGATTGCTCTACCCAGCAAAGCTGTTATAGAACTGAAGGTCAGTAAAGAGCTTCACAGATAAGAAAAAGCTAAAGGAGTTCATTGCCACCAGACCAGCACTACAGGAAATGTTGAAGGGTCTTCTTTAAGAAGAAGCTAATGAACAAAAGAATCTGACGAACTAAATAGATCCAGACACATTGACGCAGGCAACAGATGATCATATTTCAGAGGAAAGAGGGAAGGGGGGTGGAGGGTGGGAAGAGATTAACCAAAGAAGTTATATGCATATATCCATAGCCCATGGACACAGTCAATAACGGGGTGAGGTCTGGGGAGGGGGTGGGAGCAAGGTGGAAAGGGTCAGTTGGGGGGGAAATGGGAACCTGTAATACTTTCAACAATAAAGATACATTTAAAAAAATAATAATAATAAATAAAATAAAATAAAAATGATAACTATGCGTGGTAATGGATATTAACTAGACTTACTGTGATCATTTTGGAACATATACAAATATTGAATCATTATGTTGTACACCTGAAACTAATACAATGTTATATGTCAATTATATCTGATTCTTTAAAAATGTACAAATAAGAAATTCTATATTATCTGACAAAGGCTTGAACAAGATTAGAATAGAGCAGGTTGTAATAAACTAATATTAAAAGCTAGAAGACTTTTCAAGTAATGAAACATGAGTAGCAGAAAAATTAAATGAGATAAAAATTTAATAGTTCACAGAATTATTATATTCTCTTTTGATAAGGAAAATGACCCAGGAAATATAACAGAAATAGCCACAACCACATCAAAATTACAACTAAACTACAGAACAACCATCATTTAGAACCTGAATTCTGGGTGAATGGAAGTCTTACAACTAGGGAATTAAAGAAGTGACATTGAGACTAGTAGGAGGGATGGAGTCTCAGGATGAGCTGGTCCCAAACCCACAAGTGGTGGATAAAAATTGGGTGGGATATCTCAGCTGTGGAGAGCCCCCTTGAGGCGTGAGGGGTCCCAGCCCCACACCAGGCCCCCCCAGCCCAGGGTTCCAGTGCCAGGAAGAGAAGTCCCCATAACTTAGGGCTGTAAAAACCAGTGGGGATTGAGGCTTTGTGAGATAGAGGGCTTCTGGAGTCCCAGGCAGTTTCTCTTAATGCGCCCATGTACTCAGATTTACTCAGACTCACTCCCACTGAGCTCCACGGCTAGGGCAGCAGCTTGAAAAGCACCAGAGACATATAGGGAGTCTGGTATCAGGGCAAAGGCTGGCGAGGCGGCTTTCTCCCAGACAGAAGTGCTGGCAGAGGCCATTTTTCCTTTGATGAACGCTCCCCAGACAGAGCCAGCAGGCAGACACCAACATTTGAGTCTCCATCAACCTGGCTCACACTGATCACCCACACTGGTGATTTCCTGAGGTCCCACCCCACCCCATCCAACCTCTGGCTCACACAAGCTGTTTCCAGTGGCTTTTCCATATGAATGGCCTGTTTTGGTTCATGCTTTGGATTTACCTAAAATCATTCAAACAAGCAGCATCTGGCATCAGCCTGCCCTGTACCTCTTGCTAAGTGGCCCTGGGCCTGGCACTAGCAGCAGCTGGCCTCGTGCATACCTTGGCCTTACCTGAACACGTCCAAACACAGCACAAGTAGCAGCCATCTGCAGATCACTTTGTAGCTGATGCCAGGTGACCCCAAGTGGAACACAGGAGGCAGCTGAACTTGGCCTGTACCTCGCTATAGGTCCCAGAGCCAGTGCACCCAATGGACAGGTTCAGACCACATCGAACCATCTCCGCAAGCGACACACTCAAGGGGCAGACTCATTGGGCACCAGAGCCCCGCTGAAGTGAGTTCTGCTCTGTGGGATGGGCCCCTGCACAGTCATCCTCCATGATGATCGTAGCCAGTCATTGTAGCTGATTCGCCTGGGGGCAAAGCCCTCCCACTGAGGTGCCTACCGCAATAGAGGCTCAACTATAAGAGAAGGGTGCACAGAGCTCACATGGGGGGGGTGGGGACACATCTCAAGTGACTGGGGAGGCTGTGCCACTGGACCCTACAGAACATCTACTGCATAAGGCCACTCTGTGAAGCCTGCATAACTATTTGGTGACTTCTTACTCCCTTCACTTTTCTCACCCATCTCCCTACCCCTCTCCCATCTGGCAACTCTCAGTTTGTTCTCTGTATCTGAGAGTCTATTTCTGCTTTATTTGTTTATTTTGTTCTTTAGATTCCACATATAAGTGAAATCATACAGTATTTGTCTTTCTCTGTCTGACTTCCTTCACTTATCATAATACCTTCTAGGTCCATTCATGTTGAAAAGATGTATGCATTCTTATGTTCACTGTAGGTTTTATAAAAATAGCCAAGACATGAAGCAACCCAAGTGCTCATCAATAGACAATTGGATAAAGAAGATTTGGTAGATACACACAATGGAATATTTATCAGCTATAAAAAAGATTGAAAACTTATTATTTGCAACAAATCAATACTTATTCCTTATGTGAATAATATACTTACAGTTAACTTTGAAGAGATATTAACCTAGGTACTAGGTGTTATATTAAGTGGTTTAAATATATGATACATAATCATAACGAGAATCCCTTGTTATAGAAAAAAGTGACCAGTTTGTTAGTGGCCGAGATAGGATTTGACCTTAGGCAGTTTTATTTCAGAGACTACCCTATTAATCATCATATCAAATTACCAGACTCAGAAATGGCTTTCAGTATTAAAAATAAAACATTACTTTCCCTTCCTTGAGGTTTTGTATTCTTCATTCACTTAAATAAAGGAGCAAATGCAATGACATTTATTTTTACCCTGGCTGAGAGACAACTCAAAGTTTTGTTTCTTCTCCAATCATTAGTTTTATCAAAGCCCTGGATTATGCCTTCTCTAACATGCTATTCCAAGTTGGTTTTTTCCCCAGAAAAAAATGTGGTGAATTAAAAACTTATAATTTGCCTTTAGGATCTTGGATCTGCTGATCCTGGGTACTCCTTATTTGTGAATTGCATTGCATTCCCTGTCCTCTGGGAAAGTACAGGCTTAGATTTTTTCTGCTTGGTGTTATATAGTACGTTGATGCTATTGCACTTCACTTTGTGCTTTGTGAATACTTTTCCTACTTTACAATGTAATTTTAATTCTAATTATATATAACATATTAGTGTTACTTTCAGTTCTACATATAAAGCCTAGTTTTCAAAAAATAATGCAAAAGAATATGTATTACTTGGACTGTATTCAGAAACTGACAGTATAGTGATGATACCATTGTAATAACCTGGTTATTAATTAACAGGAAAGGAGTAAAGGGAGGGCCAGATAAGATGGGCATGATTTTTGTGCCAGGAAGCTGAAGTTTAACACTCTCCAGGTCTGTGCCTAGCAGATCCTGGGGGAAAGGACTGAACAAAGAAAGAATAGACACATACCCAGGAAAGTCTGGGTGATACAGAAAAGGTGATTCCCTGTAACACCTGGGAGCAGGTTACTGGCCAGAAGAGGTGTGGCCACTGCAAGGGCGTGACATCTGAGATACACAAGCTCCTGAAGAAAGGGAGTTCCCTCACTTGGTCCCCTTACTCTCTTGGGACTCTTGGTGCAGAGGTTTTGCCCTCATGCCCTCACCCCATGGCCCACAGCCATGTGGACCCCACACATAGTGGACTGAGGGACTAAATTAGCCTGATGTTGTGCAGACTCAACTTCTCTATGGAGCAGAAAGTGTGGACACTGGCATTGCTTCCAGCTCTGCTGAATCCCCAGCTACACCTATTCCAGGACTGGTTTAAAGGAAGTGGACTTTCGGAAAACTGAGAGAGATAATTTCACACGAAAAAACCTTTCTATCACACCTTGTTCTCCTGTGCCAGTCTTAGAAAATTCTTTTTCTCAAGATATCATGAGAACCCAACCCCGACTGCCAACGGAGAAATTCCACCTCTGTGCAATTTTCCAATAACAATTTGGTCATAAAATTCTGTGCTAATGTGTTACTGCTTTTTCACTGAGAGACTGAATATACAGATGGGTGACAGCCAGACCATATATAAAGTCGAATTCTGCCCCTTAATGTGCAGCAAGCAGTCCAAGGAAGCTGAACCACAGCCTCAGAAGACATTGGCCCCAAATAGCCAGGACTTGATCAATAACTGGCAGCTTCACTAATTTTTGCCCCTGCTTTCAACTTAGGACCAACCAGAGAAAGCCAAATGCTTGCCCATAAGCAATCACATAGGATGCCCGGCTTTCAGTTAGCCACTTACAGCTTCTCCATGATGACAGCCTCCAATCAGAGGATGCTCCAAGCCCTTCCTTGCTGTTCTGTGCCCAGCTTTCCCATTTATCTTCCTGCCTTTGAGTCCTTGGCAAACAAAAGGGTTGATGGCTGACTCCTTTGCTGTGTAGCCAGCTCTAAATAAACAGCTTTCGCTCATTCTCATTTGGATAGTTTCTGTGTATTTCCACAGTTCCTTTATTAGAACAGCGATCATTTAAATTAATTTTAATTGCTTCTAGATTATATATTCCTAATATATTAAAATGTATACCTTCACTTATTTGTAAATTGTAGTCGTGAACACCCAGTTTTGAGAGTTTGAGTATGGAGGGAGTGGCGGTCAAGGACACAGCCCCCACCCTGGGTAGCCAGGCTCACGCCCACATCAGCATGCCTTGCCCAGACACCGCCTTTCAGAGACCACAACAGCTGAAGCCTCCTTCTGAGGAACTTCTCTCCACTCTGGCCCAGCACTTTCCCACTCCTGGCAACCCTCCCTTCCTCCTCTGGCCACCTGGGTCAATAAAAGGCAGACTTTTTTTTGTTGTTTTCAGGATCCTCAGCCTGAGATTATTCCCCCTCCCTGCTCTGCATATCCTAAGACTGACCCCCTCCCAGTACCATTCCTTGGGAAAGGGGAACATTGGCAAGCCTGCACTTTCCTCTTTCTTTGCCTCTTGGCTGCACTATCTCAGTGCTATGGGCTGAATTGTGTCCCTGAACTATTCATGTGTTAAGTCCTAATTGCCCCCAGCACCTCTGAATGTGACTGTATTTGGAAATACAGACTTCAGAGAGGCAATTAAGGTTAAGTGAAGTCCTGGATAGGCCCCTAATCCAATAGGACTGTTGTCCGTATAAAAGAGAAATTTGGTACAGAGACTCACAGAGGGAAGACCAGATGAAGACACAGGGAGAAGATGTTCAGCTACAAGACCAGGAGAGGGGCCTCAGAAGAAACAACTCTGCTGGCACCTGCTCTTGGACATCTAGCCACTCAGCATGAGGTGCTTGGTCATGGGAGTCCTCACAAAGTAGCGCACAGGGTAAGTGGAGAAAGCCTGGATTGTTCCTTTTGGTTTGGCTCACTGTCCTAATTTACCACCTTGACACCTGGCAGCTCAGCAGCTTTTCTCTTAATTGTAGAAATGATTTCTTTGGAAGGATAATTTTTTATGAAGTCCCAATTTATAACTCTTTTATGTTTCATGTTTTGTTTAGCTTACCTAAAAAAATATTTGCAAGATCACAAACTGTTTTATTCAAGAAATTTTATAGTTTTTGGTTGAACATTTAGATATGTATTTCATTTTTGAGTTAATTTTTTTACATAGCATCTGAGAAGGGAGAAAGCTCAATCTTTATGCAAACAGATTAAATTTAATTGCTTTGGCATCTTTGTCAAAAACAAATTGATCCTCTGTATATGGACCTATTTCTAGATGCTCTATTTTCTTACATTGATCTATATGTCTACCTTTTCCCTAATTTCAGTCTTCTTTTGTAGCTTAATTCTTGAAATTAGGCAGAATAAATCTGTCAACTTTTTCTTTTTATTCAAAATCACTTTTAGAATCAGCTTGTCAATTTGCATAATTGAAATTGCATTTAATGCATAGTTCAAATTGGAGGGAAGTGTTGCTATCTTAAAAATATTAAGGATTATAGTCCATGAACATTGTTTATCTCTCCATTTAGTTACATCTTTTTTATTTTCTGTCATTAATGATTTGCATTTTACATTGTAGAGATATTGTACATCTTTTGCTAGATTTTTTCCTAGGTATTTTACTTTTTTAATAGAGTAATGGAAATTAAATCTTTTGTAACTGTTGTCATCAGTTAATAAAAACATGACTGATCTGATATTGCTATTTTAACCTTTTATCCTTCAACATTGTTACATTCATTTATAAATTTTAATAATTTTTTGTAGATTCCACAATATTTTTTATTTAAACAACTGTATTCTTTGTAAAATATTTACTCTTTACTTTCCTACCTTTATGTCTTTTATTTATTTTTTGCCTTATGGCAAAGGCTGGGCCAATGTTAAATAAGAGTGTTGAAAGTGGGAATCATTACCCTTTTCCTGATATACAGGGAAATGATTCAGGTTTTCTTCATTAAAGAAGATCTAGGCTGTATGTTCTTTAGATTCCCTTTATCATATTAATAAAAGTGTCTATTATTTTTAACAGCTTTATTGAGGTATAATAGATATACAAAGAACTGCACACATTTAATGTGTATAATATGGTGAGTTTGGACATATGCAAACACCCATGATACCATCAGCACAATCAAGGTAACATACATATTTAACATTTCCCGGAGTTTTCTTGTGTTCCTTTTTATTTTTTGTTTTGTAGTAAAAACACAGTATACTATATACTATTTTAACAAATTTTGAGTGTACAGTTCTGCATTGTTAACTATAGGTACTATCTTGTACAGCAGATATTCTAGAACTTATTCACCTAGCATAAT